CTTGCCATTTGCCGCTCTCAGGGGTTACGAATACTGGGCTCATTAGATTTTCATTCTGTATTCTACGTCCCCAGACTCACCGTGTATGTAATTACAAGTACGTATATCTGACTCCTGACAGGCAAGCAGCCACCACTGTATCTATTTATTGCGAAGCAGCTTTTCGACTAGCCCGTGTAACGCTGTCCCTCCGTGCGCACCACTCCGCGCGCCGTAAGCATTCGAGCGGTGCCACGTAGATCACACCCTCCTAGCTGTGCACCGTGACGTCTCTCTCCCAGACCTGCCGCGCGCTCACCGCATGTTAGATCTCTTTCGTTTCACCCTCTTCACCACTCGCAACGCTCGAGCCCACTCTTCACGTGGGCATCATCTCACCCGCTCCACCACTCTCCATCTGCAAGTAAGAAGAAGCCGTGAGCCAGCAGGAGCGCACGCTGCGCGTGCCTCGAACATCTCGCGTCACCGACAATGCGGACGGCGCGTCGTTGCTTGCCGCGCGATTGCGCCGACAGGCAATACGTCGTCGCGGCATGCTTCCCGCTACTGTGCGCGTACCTTTCCCGGCTGTCTCCGGCGTTGCGAAAGTTTAACGAAGCCAATTGCGTTCGCAAATGGCAACGTCAACACCAACGAAGTACGAGCAAGGGAAGGCGAAGGCAAGCGTCGGCAGTGGAAGACCAGTGGCACCGACGAAGTGCAAGTATAGTGCCTATAGAGTATATTCGAGGCGCTATCGTGCGAGTGAAGAACACCGATCGCGTTGGGGAATAGGCACCACACACTGAGCAGAGGGAGCTTCGTTGCTCACACTGCCCTGTCTCAAAGTTTTAGGGGCGAAACTCCTTATAGCGTCACCCGTTCGTCCCTCGTAGTATGTAACAAGTATAACATTTTGACTTAAAAGGTGGTGCCGGTGAGAGACTTCTTTTGTGCGTTGTTGAACAACAAAAAATAGTGCTCAATGTACATGTCAATGGCTGCTAATGGGGAATGAGGGACAGGAGCATTCGGCTTTTAATTAACGCGCCCGCTGCGATCACCATTAGCAGCCATTGGCATGTACCATGAGCACTATCTGACAAGAAAGGGTTGCTACGTTATACTCGCTGGGTGTAACCTCCTTAGCTATAGAAAGGTTTACCGAGCGTTGAGCCGCAGGGCCATGAATACAATGAACTTGTATATACCATGAATGAACTCGAGGTGGTTAAAAATGGGAAGTAGATACGAAGCGCATGCCGTAAGAAAGTAAAAGCCGAATTCTCCGCCTTTCAATTCCCATTAGCAGCCATTGGCATGTACATTGAGCAAAATCTGACTGAAAAAGTTTGCTACGTCATACTCACTGGGCGTAACCTCCTTGGTTTTCGAAAGGTTTAGCGAGCGTTCGGCCGCAGTGCTATGAATACACTGAACTAGTATATACCATGAAATCGAGATGGTTAAAGGTGGGAAGTGGACCCGAAGCGCAAGCCGTAAGAATGTGTGCGTGCGCCACCTCTCGTTTAGTCCTTGGAATGTCCGCTGGATGGCGGTGCTTCTATATGGGGAATATATGATGAAAAGATGCGAGATGGTGGTACTTGGAGTGTTGAATAGATGAACGAACAGACACATAGACAGATGCATGGATGGACGCATGGACGCAGGGGCGGCTGCATGGACGAACGCAACGACGGACGCACGAACAGACGCACGCACGGATGGGCTGATGGACGCATGGATGGTCACACTGACGGACGCATGGACGGACGGAAGCAAGAACGAATGGACGGACGAATTCTTCGCCCCACTCTCCATCATTCACTCCGTGGATATGCTGCCATTTTTTTTCACATTCGCTGTTAAGGGCAGGCAGAAAGTAGACGCGTGTGCGCGTTCCCGTTGTATACTGGCCACATTCCGCCGACATATGCAGGAAGCGAGTCACGGGAGTCACGTTCCATTTTCACCAACGCCGTATCAACGTTGCTTTTTATCCGCTGGGCTATGCATTTTGGCGCTACAGTGTGACTGGAAAACTCGACGGAGTGGTGCCTATAGACGGTTTCAAGATTGCGAGCGTTGTACCCCCAAAAAACTTCCGGTCACCTCATTTACCATTAACATTGAAACTGAAAGGACGTTTTCACGTTTTTTCAAGAGTAAGAAAAAACTCTTATTAGTTTTTCAAATGAAAAGGACGTGCGAAATGTTCAATGTAATATCTTGTAGTTTTTATGTAGCCCAAAATAACATTTATTTGAATATATTTTGCTAAATGGATGTAGAAAATCCGCGGGTTAATCTCTAACGCTCTTCTTGCTCCCCTATGCTATTCAGACACATGGGTGGACGAAACGGGAAGTCATCAAGGGTCTATACAGACGGCGCGCGGGTAACACTAACGCCAGCTGAGGACGCCAAGCGCAAGCGTCTTCAAGGCGTCCCGCTTTCCATGTCTTTGCATTTTAAACAAACGTATACTCGAGTAAACGCTACACCGAGTTTCGCTTCAAACCCTTCTTTTCACACCCATGTCGACGTCCGTTTCAACCTGGTCAACGCCGTGCTCACCACTATTGCGTCGCATCCAATCAGGGTTCCCTTCGAGGAGATGGTACATTGTTTTTTTTCACCAGACTTTTATTTACTACTCCAAAACACCAACGAAATAGGATACAATCCTAAAGGGGGAGCCCGTCTATTCTTTAGCAGTTAAAAACTTTTCGTGTATACTTTTCATGCACTCCGAACGACCGTGACGTATACGCTTGACGTAACGGTGGATGGATGAATGGAAACGACTTTTTTTGGAAGTCAGGCGATGTTTACAACCCGGGCTCAGGTCTCCCAGGAGGGGACTTCAAGGACTTGTCTCGTTGCCGCCTTTCGGGCCCGCTGGACTGCCTACTCTTCTGTCTCGAAGTTTGAGCTCCGCAGAGCGGCTACCTACTTCGACGCAAGAGCATCTTGAGCTACTGCCATTTGCGTTGCTGTAACAGTGCTCTCACTGAACATGTGCGAGAGTGTCGCTCGAGTTGTCTGACGCAATTTGCAAGTAACAATCAGGTATTACGCGGGGAAAAAGCGCTGCAGTCGCACCGGACTGAGGAAGGTGCCTGTCTGTAGCTGTCGCCAGACGACTGCTTGGCATCTTTTCAGCTTAGGGTGAGTTGCGGGCCATATTCACCTGCCTCACTGGTAGTGTTTGGTAATGTCGTTATACCTCGCTAAGCGTTCTCCCACGTTTTGAAGCAGGAGGTCCAAATTAGACAAGGTGGTCCCAGACTCTGCGCGGCGGGTCGTTTCTCGTGCATAGCGGTGTGCCACCTCGTTCCAACTAGGAAGGCGGGAGGCTTCGTTGGTGGAGGTGGTGACATGAGCTGGAAAACACAGAAACGCGGTGCTGTTGAATCGCTGTCGACCAGCCTTCCTGAGAATTTGTAGAGCTTCGGGAGAAATGCGTCCGCGCACGTAGTTACGAACTAGGGATTGGGGTCGGTAAGTGCAAGCGCAATTGCAACCGCTTCCGCGGTGTCTGGGTACTTTGTACTGACACTACACGTGTGGGTAAGCCGGGAGTTAACATCTATGACAACCGCCGTGAACAGGTGTTGGTGTGTGTATTCTGCCGCGTCCACGAAGCGCGCATTCCTCTCCCCACCGAAGGAGCACATCAGTGCTTTAGCACGAGCCTGGCGTCGGCCCTCGTTATGTTCAGGGTGCATATTTCTTGAGTGGGGGCACTATCAGCATGTTTCTGATGTCGTGTGGAATTCCTTCTTTCTGACCTTGTTCTACGTGATAATTCAGGCCGAGTTTCTGCAGGATGTACCGACCCGGGGCTGCCAGGAACATGCGTTCGAGTTGCGAGACTCTTTGCCCATCTACTATTTTTTCAAGAATGTGGTATACCCCCAGTTGTAGTAGACGTGTGGTGCTCGTGGACTGCGGTAGGCCAAGGGCGATCTTGTAGGTCTTGCGTATAATGGTGTTGAGTTTCTTTCTTTCGGTGACAGTCCCCTTATGGAATGCAGCCACATAAGTGCTGCGACTGATTGCAAACGAGTGTATAAAGCACACGACGCTATCCTCCTTTATTCCTGTGTGCTTGTTTGTAATTCGTTTAACCAGGCAGGTAGCTGCTGTAACCTTTCCCTTGATCTTTCGGGTAGTTTCGACGTTTGATTCGTTGGCATGCGCACTCCGAGGATGCGTATCTCAGGAAATCGGGGAATGCAGGAGCCGCCTTGCGTATACAACTATATATTTTCACATTTGCGTGGTTCATTTATTCGCTTGCACCGGCGGCGTGGGTGGTAGATTAGCAGCTCAGATTTGAGCGGAGAGATTGGGAGGCCCGTGTCTCGAAGATGTGTTTCTAGCGAAGATATTGCTGCTTGTAAGGTGCATTCTATCAGCCCATCGCTTCCCTTGTTGACCCACAGGGTGATGTCGTCTGTATACAAGGCTTGATGGAGGCCGTCAATCTCGCCAAGGAAGACAGGAGACCCATAATCACAAGGTTGAAAATAAGCGGGGATATTGCCGACCCTTGGGGAGTGCCGCTGCTTGCTACGGTGTAGTCGTCGGATGTCATGCTGTCGACTGTGATGGTGACCTCGTGGCACGACAGGAAGTCTCTGAATAGTCGTATTTTCGGTGACCTAGGTTGAGCTTGTTAATTCAGCTCAGTATTGCTGCATACATGTGCTACATTGTCGAACGCTTTTTCTAGATCTAGGCCGAGGATGGCGCGGGCGCCGCCTATTGGGTTGTTAATGATTTGGTGGTAGAGTTGGAGCATGACGTCTTGTGTGGAGAGGTGTGATCGAAAGTCTACCATAGAGGGCGGGTAGGCTCCCGTGTCCTCTAGGTGATTGTTGATACGGGTAAGGAACGCGTGCTCCATCACCTTGGCAACGCAGCATGTGAGTGAAATAGACCGATCCCACAGGCCAGTTTCGCGACGCCACCGCTGCCGCGGCAGCCGCGGTGCATGCTGGTACTTGTAGTCGTCCGGGCGCACCAGCCAGCCGAAGTGCCTGAGCGTTCCCTTTTCGATAGATTTTTCGGTCGTGTGGAGCCGTCTTACGATGGGAGGATTTACGTGCTGTGTTCCTGGATGCTACAACAACAGCACAAGGGATAAAGGCTTGGGTTTCTACGTCTTTCCTAAAGAGCAAAAGCTTCGGGAGACGTGGATTCAGCGTATCAACAGGGCTGGACGGGGCGGCAGGTAAGACATCTTATTAAATGTATAGTGCCGCTTTGAAACTAAATAAGCGTATTGCGGTGGTTTTTTTTATGTGAATGTTTAATCATGAAGCTTAGCATACCAAAGAATATGATCTTTGCTCACTCTGCCTGCGTATACTCTTACCGGATAGCTCAGCCGCGGTTCACGGTTGTGCATGCCGGTCATTTTTTAGCGCATCTTCTTTATTCTAGCGTTTTTTGTTACCGCTGCGTACTAATATTATTATTATTACGAGTTGTAGTGCTGAGGTCTTTTAGTTTTCCATGTTGCGCAAGTGCAGCACCGCGTACGCGGCTTGCGTTTTTTTTTTTTTACAACGCAAGTGGCAAGCATGCAGGCATAAGGGGAAGGCAAGCTCATTGACGAGGCTCTCCTAATAGCTCTACCGTACATCGAGACCTTACTTTTTAGAAACGACGTAACGTACTTCACGGCACGCTTGCAACAACTTACCCAGAACTCGTTGTGCCAAACGGCGATTAGCTATCGCGGATCACCCTCGATGCAAACGGTGCCTCTGTAATCTCGTCCTTTCCGTAAAATAGTTATCTGGTGCATGCACGCGGCCGATTTCGCTGCACCTATGCAGATGAGTGGCACAAACAGCTGTATAATTTACCTGTGTGTGGCGTTGTCGAGTGAGGCTGAAAATTGAAATTACATTTGTCATTTGCCCTTGACTGATATGGAACTTTTTGTACGTTAATCAAGAGAAAGTGATACTGTTGTCTTGCAGTGGTAGCATGCAGACTGGACATTTAAAAGGAACCTGAAAACGCAGTAGGTGATGTTCAGTGTCATATGAAATAATGCTGGAACTTTTTGTGCTCAGGTTCTCCAAGTTTACGCCTACCACGGGACACCGAGTATGCGGTGCCCACTTCGAAGGAGGAAAAAAGACTTACATGAACAGAGTGCCCACAATCTTCCCGCTGAGACCGCAAAAGGTGGAAAGGAGGCGACCACTCATAAGGACACAGGTAATTTGAGCGCAAGCAATGCAGAGAAATAGCATTACGTTGTTGCATATGCACCACTGAATATTTTGTTATGGCTTAATGCAGACAATGGCTACTTAAGGGTTGCGCTACTGCGTAAAAAAAGCAATGATGCCGAGTAAACTTAAACTCGTGTGAAGGTATAAAATGCAGTATTGGAAATCTCACCTGCAGCTGCACAGTGTGTTGTAAAAATCACTGAAACACATGGCTTTCTTTTTTCATTTTCCCCTGACAGCCGGAACTTCCCAACAGTCCAACTGTGGCACCCCAGCACGACCCAGAAGTCTCAGGCTCTGCCATCACTAGTAGCAGCAGCGACAGTGAAGACACCGCACAGCAAAGCACTCTACTCATGGACCATGCCTACAGCAGCCAAGAGTCAAGCTATGACCAGCTTGCCAAGAAAGTTGCTTGCCAAAATAATATAATAACTGAGCTAGCAGAAAAGGCTGAAGCTGCTTACGCGCATGTTGAAGAGCTCAACCGCCAGCTAAAACGCTCTCAACAGGACCACGCTGAAGCAAAAAAGCTATGTGACCGCCTTCAGCAGAAGAATAGGTGCTTGCGGCTTGAGCTATCCTGTATGCAGAAGAAAGTCAAGAGGTGCAAGGCTGAAGCACACAAAAGATTGACATCACGTATGAAGCCCTTGTAGAAGATGAAAAGAAGCTGCGGTACTACACTGGCTTTACATCCAGAAAGTCCTTCGACAGTTTTTGGTCCCTACTTGAACCAGATGCGAAAAAGCTGCGGTTCTGGCAGATGAAGGAAACGGAGAACGAGGACAGGAACTTCATCCTGCCTTTGAAGACACAGCTTGTGCTCGTCCTGATGAGGCTACGGCTGGGCCTTGACGGCCTTGACCTTGCGTACAGGTACGCTGCCAACGTTGAAGTGTTTTTTTTTTTTTGCATCAGTACTCATTTTTGCCTTTGCATAAGGTCCAAGTGGAGTGACTAATGAAACTCTGTTACCATGCCAATACATTTACGCGGGCATACTGTGTATAATGTTATTTATGAATATGCTGTGAGGGAAACAAGCATAACCCAATCAGCCCGAAAGGGGCCATGAAGACAAAATACGAGTTTGCTTTATTCAAAAGATTTGGTATTTTGTAATACCCTTAGTGCTTGTCCGGGAGCAAACGAACTTTCATTCACTGAGAAATTCAAGTTTAAGCCAAATTTCAGTGTTCCTGCCGAGCGTAGCTGGTTTTGTTAGTTACTTTGTGCATAGGGGGAATGCAGCATGCTGTGTATTCGTACGTTCCTCAAAATATCAGCAATGGTATGCAGCACTTTTTCACTTATCGTTTATAATGAAAATGACTGGAAGTAACAAGGTGCTTACACAAAAGGAATTCAGTACCGTTTAAGCATCTTCTGCAATGACATCTTCATTGCAACCGTAGGTTCTTTTGTTTGTGCTGCAGAAAATTACTGATGCGCATTTTTTGCAAATTTGTTTTTCGTACAGGTTTGGCGTTTCTACGTCAACCGTTTCGAGGATCTGGGTAACATGGCTGGATTTTTTGGACAACAGGCTTCGCCAGGTATGTCAGCACCAGTTATCTTTTTTTATTGCCTTTTGTTTGCGGTCTCTGTGATGGCCGCGACAAATTGCAACATTTATGGGAAGGGAGAAAGGGGACTGGATGGAATTTTAGGTATAAAAGGCCAACTGTACACTGATCAGTCGCGTAGCCAGTGTTCTATTTCAAGGGGTGTTTGTCAGCCTTCCCCTCATGGCCAGATATATTAGCCCCCACTACTGCCTTTCTGTCTGTCAAGATACCTGCTAAGAACGTACAGGTAATTTAATTCCCCGAAGCATGCTTTTTTAAGCTTACTGCAAGATTGCTCAGCTTGAACACCTTGTGTTTGCATTCTAAGATGGATCGATTGAATTAAAGTAAATTTCAGTAAAACTACTCGTTAGGCAGTTGGTGCACGCTTGTAAAACCCAGAGCGCAAAAATACAACACAGGCGAAGCACAATGGGACAAGCACTCACTCTCAGCTAAAAATTATTGGAAGCAACGTCACATGTCACCTCCCCTTAAATGTACTCATTTCACTTTTTTTATTCTGCGGGTTGCTACATGGCTCAGTGCCCGCGGCGTTGTGCTGCCCAAGGATGCGGGTTCGATTCTCGGCCGTGGCTTCCGCTTTTCTTACGCAGGCAAAAAGCGAAAATGCTCGCATGTTCGAGATTAAGGTGCTCGGTAAAGGTTCCCATCTGATCAAATTAAACTGAAGCCCTCCACTACAGTGCACCTTATAACTTATGTAGTGCCTGTGCATTATAACTCAATAAATCAATCGATGAACCTTCTGGGTCTTACAGCACATGCCCAATGCAGTAAATGATTTTATTTATATGTAACGATGCTTCCAAAAAAAGTTTTGTTGAGAGAATGCTTATCCCAGCATGCTTCTCGTGTGCCCGTGTGTTTTTTTGCTAATTTTTAGAGCATTTGTAGATTCATTTGACAGTGTTACAAGCTGTGATGACTCATCTTGCGGTCTCTACTGCAGAGCAGTGCCAGTACTTGTGGCAAAAATCAAAGGTGGAGAAGGTGACTTTTTAAATCGTACATTAAGAGCAATGGGGAGATTCATGTGCATTGAGAATGCAGTCTTAGATCCTTCGCATAGATCCACCACTCTAAGACCACTCCCCCCGCCCGTTCCTAAGCCACTGATGATATTAATGTAAAAAATATGAAAACCCACTTTTCCTTCTTTTTTTCAGGTCCCAACTTGGATGCCTCCCCACCTGTGCGACAAGTACAGGCCACAAGCTTTCACTGACAAGGGCTACACCACTGTTGACGGCATCCTCGACTGCACCGAAATTTTCATCGAAACCCCCTCGTCATTCCGTGTACAGAGTGAGACCTATTCCTCGTACAAAAAGCACAATACTGCAAAAGGGTTAGTTGTGTGCAGCCCGAACGGCTTTGTTATGTTCGTGTCCGATCTTTCTCCTGGGAGGCTGTCTGACAAGGCCCTAACAAAGGCTTCCGGTGTGTTGGAAAAGTTTTCCCCAGGGCGAAGTTTGATGGCTGATAGGGTGTTCACCATCGAAGAAGAGTGCAAGGAACTTTCACTGCACTTGAACATTCCGCCATTCATGGAAGGACGGCCTCAACTGTCTGAAGCAGATGAAACTGAGACAAGGCTTATTGCCAGTGTGCGCATACATGTGGAAAGGGTCATTCGGAGGATAAAGACCTACAGAATACTCTCACAGGTGTTTCCAAACAGCATGTCTGGACAACTGAACAAGGTGTGGCATGTTTGCGCACGCTTGACAAACTTTGTGGGTGAGCCATTGCTGTGAGCAGATGTGAGTGAAGTCTGCATGTCTGCTGATAGGCTGCGCCAGTTCGCTTGCACTACATTTGACTACTTTTTTGGCCATGCAACACAGCCAGAAATGGGAAGGATATAGGCCATTGTGCCTGTTCTAGGAACTGCTCACCGTCTCTCCAAGCTTTTTTATTCACCTTATCCCAAAACAAGGAACAACCCAATCCCTTCAGGAGGGCACGTACGAAGAGCCGTATCCTTCCCGTGCACATTCAAGCATCATAAGAAATGTCCCTGCCTAGGTTTTGTATTCAGTTTATTTGCTTTGTTTACTTGGTCATTCCCTTATTCTCTAAATTTTTTGAGAACTACGTTTACTTGCACGAAAAGATGTGTTGTCCCCCCTTTGCATTGACCCCCCTTTTCTTTTTTGTTGTCATAACACATTGCTACCTGTACTGTCATGAACGTGCATTATGCAATAGCCATACTCTCTTCATCTCTGTCACCATTTCAAACAGCGGCACGTTTTGATGCTTTCCATTAAAATCGAAGTGAACCCATGCCTGGCGGTGTCAATGAATAGGTACATACATTTATTTCGATAGGGTAAAAGCTCGTGATCGTGGCCATAGCTGCCCGTTGAGAAGCATACTTGTATGGGCTATCACCATATTGTCCCCTTGTGTCCAGCCATCCAGTCTGCTGTGGTTTAACATAAACATGAAAGGTCAATTAACAGGCTGACATAGCCTTTTAATGCGTGACAGCATTCATTGATAAACTGAAGGTATGTTGAGTGTATCATTTCCTGCATAGAAACCAGCTGCAGGAGGATAATGGAGCTGTGAAGAAACGGCGTTACACAGTGCTCGAGTCAATTTCAAGAAGCCTGCAACCGCCTGTTTTGCAAGAAACAGTTGTCTAAAAATATTTTCCACATAGGGCTCCAGTACAGTGGTTTATTTGACATTGTTTTCGTGCTTCCCGTAAACTGTGTAGGGCCTTCAGGAAAACAAAAAAAAAACAGGCCAGAAGGCACATGATAGCACAGGCCTACACACTAGCAGTGGTGGGTAAAAAGTAGGGCCATAAAAGAAGCGGGTCACAACACATCATAGCACAGGCCTACACATTAGCAGTGGTGGGATAAAAGTTCGAATAGCTCATGCCAAGTGACACGTGAGCAGGTGCCTCGCTGTCCCACAAAACACTGATTCATGGAAAGCTGTGGCATGTGTTACCGGTCTGCTTGTTTAATTCACCTTGAATTAATTCAAAATGAAGGCAAAAAGAGAAGTACAGACAATGCAGCAGTAAAAGAGCCCGTCAATGTAACATTACATATAACAAAGTGGCAATGAAGACAGACACAAATAACACAAATACCCTATCAGTAAAGAAGCAGTTCACCAGGCTTTTTACCTCCACAGTACGTAAGCAAGCTTAGGTGCCCCGAGAATTTTTTTAAATTCCACATAAGTTGCTGTTTTGGAGCAAGGCCGGCCCTTACAGTAGCACGCAAGCCATAATGGTGTAAATATTAGTAGCAACAATAACGCCAGTGGTGCAGTTTCGTGTGCTTCATGGCATAAATAAGCAAGCCTATGCCTCCGCGAAATTAGCATGAAGCACACAGACGCTTCACACTGGAGGGCCTCACGCTCATTTGTACTATTTTTCCCCAGCGTGGTCAAGTTATGCACGTGAATGATGTACAAAGAAAGAGGGTAGACTGTTCTTGTTAACGCAGAACAAAAATGCACAAACCTCATACATAAACATCTTTGTTATAGAAAAGGCAATTTACAGGCACAGAAGCAAAACTCTGGTGGGCTACTTCTACTGGCTTGAAGTATTTATGGTATGACAGAACACACGCACAAGCTTGAAAACATTTTCTAGCTTTACTTTACCAGTTACTGGAAATGTAGGGAAGCAAGTAGCTGGAAGTAAAAAATTTGCAACGTTCTACGAATTCCGTGAAGAAACTCTGGTCAAATGGCACGGAGATTTGTCGGCACTCTTCGTTGCTGTAAACAAACAGCACGCAGGTGTTCAGACCAGTCACACCCATCTGCACTTGCACCTGAGTATAATAGCCACTACTTTTTTTTAGTTCCCCAGCACGCAACTGCCTTTTGGCAAAATCTTGAATTTTTAGGGGCACTTTGATCTCAAGCAGCCGTGGTGCGCAACATTTACACTTCACGAGCCCATCTGGGCTTGCACCTAGAAAAGCGTGATGACGAGAGAGGAAGAGGCCAGTTTCAGTCACCTCAAGCTCCACGTGGCTGTCATTTTTGTCCTGAAAGGCTTTCCTGGCTTCAGGCTCACACAGCAGGCCTCTCTTCATGGCAAATGTTGCCCTGCCTTTCTTTTTCCCAACCACTGCTGCGATGAGACGTCGGGGATCATGCGGCCCCATTTTGGTTTGGCACGTCCTGACCCATGTGTAAACTCTATGCGCTACAGATGCAGTGATCAGACCCTCCCTATACATATGCCAAAGGAGGCAAGCACTTTGCAGTCGTGTGGCTGCCTCTACGGCTGTAACTTCTTCGTCTGTGTATGACAGCAAAGCATTCCCCTGTTTGGCTCGCTCCAGCCACCTTAAAGGTAGCCCAGCCACATCTTCGGTAGCGGGGCTCTCAACTTTTCTTTGTTTTTCGGGAAGAAAGTCATTTGCTTCAAGTACGTCTGCGAAGCAATCGAGCCCACATTCTTTGAAGTTTCCATGCAAGTTTATGAGGCTCAGTGTTGACAGATTCGAGTCTTGTGTTCTCAAGCATGAGTAGGCTGCTCGTTTTTTGTGAAGCCTTGGTGCATCACTGATTTTTTTCAGTGGTGTCCTTGGAGAATACAATCTGTTGAAATTGCTCAGTCACTTTTTTTGGATCCCGCGGGTTGTACCACTGCCGTTCACCTTCAGTGCATGCAATGGCATTTGGTACTTCAGTGAGATCATGTTGCGCAATGTGCATCAGCCCGTACAAAACGCAGCAAACATGTTTGCAGACACCACCTTTCCCAGCAACACATGAGCAGCTGCCACTGACAAGCTCCCCATCACACTTAAGCAACTTCACCCCAACACTGTACACTGTCCGTGTTGCCATGGATGCCAGAACTTGTGCCTTCACCACGGTCTCTGCGGTGTCTTCAGTTGAAAACACCAACTTTTGCAGGTGGCCTGATGTGAAAAGCCGCAGGCCAGCATCTCGATGTTTTCTAGCGCCTTTACTTTCAGTGTACCTGCATGAAGAATAAACGTTCACGTTTACATGCTGTGCAGAACTTTTTCCTTCCAGAATATACATTTACACATTCCACCCTTTAGTTAACTGTTGCATAATAAAAATAATCCCACTTTCAGGCCTGCAGAAACAGCTGAAGAAATTTTTGTAATTGTACTTGGCTAGAACAGTTGGCATGAGTACATTCCTGTGCATAAACACCTTTTCATTCCCTACACAAATTTGCACACTCCCACTTTTTGTCCATTGCGCAAGTTCTGAAGATATAGAACTAAAACTAAATTTAAGAAGACTGTCTACTGCAATCAGATATGTAAAAAACTTCATTTTAAAGTGACCTCAAATTGTAACAGCAAAATGGTTGGGAGCTGCACTAGTTGGCACGTATTCGGATGGGAGTCAGTGGAACTTTGTCGGAAACACACGGCACACTGTTGACTTTGTGATTGGGAGCGACGGAAGTAATAGCCGGCGAGAACAAACTTTCAGGAAGATGGGGACGATCGAGTAAAGTCGGGCTCGACTCGATCTGGGCGCTTTGTTACGTGGTCTGAAACTTCACGAAATAATGTGAGGGGAATGGAGGAGAGAAATGCCAGCTTTAATTATTCATTTCTCAGCAATCAAGAGTTGTTGGTCATTGAATAAAAGCTGAGAAAGCTACAAATGGCGTTATTTTCCAGCTAAACACAAAGTTACTCAGACCCGCCGCGGTTGCTCAGTGCCTAAGGCGTTGTGCTGCTGAGGGAGAGAATGCAGGTTCGATTCTCGGCCGCGGCGGCCGCTTTTTTGATGGAGGTGAAAAGCAATAACGCCTGTGTTTTCAATATTCCGGCGCACGATAAAATCCCCAGGTGGTCAAAATTAATACGGAGCCCTCCACTACGGCGCGCCTCATGCCTGCATTGCATCGGCGGATTAAACCACACAATCAACAAAGTTACTGAGCCTGTAGCGTACCACTTTAATAAAGAGAAGAATTTTTGCATACTACAGAGCCTACAAGATGGGTAGAGCTTTGTGGCACTAGGAATAGTTCAAGAAACGTTACACTTTCTGAAACATTTGGGTGTCAGCATGCTCTTTTTTTCCCAAATAGCACTCATCAGTTTTAGAGAATCATGACTGCCGAGTTAAGTTTGCATACCTGACAATGTGCTCCTTTCCAAAGTATGGGTTCAGGGAGCTTGTTTTGCAGGTCCACCCTTGACTGTTGTGGTTGTGTAATACAGATGCCATGGCACAGCATTACACGGAGCTGCAAAAAAAAAAACAGAGCCTGAAGGTTAGTTTAATCTGAACATAGCCAGCTAAACTTTCTGCTAAGCCAATACACTTTCTTAGATTACATATTTTTATCAGGGCGTTACCCTCTATTGGTGGAACATACAAACATCTGCATGCTGCGTACTCTATAAAAGAACCCCGGGCAGTGTCAGACAGTCGGTGCCCGTTGTCCACGCAGAAGCCAGGCCAATGAACCAGCTGCACGTATTAATAACATAATATGCCTCCACTGCATGATGCTCGTACCCGATGAGTAGTAGTAACGACGTGTGGACTAGTTGGTGTGGTAGCATCATGCAAAAAAGCACAAAAAACAATGAAACGCAGCAGTAGTTCTCATGAGAAGAAAAGAGAAGAAATCGCTCGCCCTGTTTTCAGGACCTTACCAGTACCAAATCTTTAGTCACATGATAGTAATCCCATGACAGAGACTGCACTTTACTAGTGCTGAGATAATCTTCACTGTTGCACATACTGCACACAGTAAATACTCTTAAGAGAAAAAAGCTTAGCGAAGTAGAAATTACAAAGACCATAAACAACAGGGCTATAACAACGAAAAAAAAAATAACTGCAATGAAATAACGCAGGACCACGACAAAAGCCATAATAAAAACGCAATCCATGAAAAGAGTATTGATTATTTAAAAATGCAGCCAATGCATTACTGTACCGCAAGAATGCAGTTTTCTAGGCGATGCCATCCTCCAAACACACGAACCTGCAGCTCTCTGGTAACTGCATGTACAGAGGTAAATACTGTTAACAACGCACGAACGCGTGGCTTTCGATACGTGCAGCACAGCCTGCTGATAGCCACTGGCGTAACCAGCGATATTAGGTGACGGCGCTGCGGCGGCTTGGCATGCGAAAGCTATTGCCCATGCTTCCTTTTTTTTGGGGGGGGCGGGGGAGGCAGGGAGAGATTCGACACCAGAAGTCCCTCACCACGACCGTCGCCAACACATAAAATAAACGATATCTGACGCTGATAACCAGCGAAGTCTGGATCATTTTCGCCTTTGGTATGGTTACTACGTTCCCCTTTCTTTATTTTGGAACTATATACCAAAGGCAATAAAAAGACAGCACTAGTTATCAGGGTAAGATAACGTCCCTTGTTGGCTCCGTATCCTTACATGCGGCTCAACCGACAAGTGCGAATGACTGATGAATGCGTATCACAGCTGCTAATGGAGAGCGGCGCGTTTGCATATTCACGTGCGTGAAACATGGGACGCTACAATGTCAAGAGTTTTCAAAATATAGCGACCGCGTCGTTCGGTGGACTAAAATCAGAACGCCACCCAAATTAAGAATTTCAAATATTATTACTACCAAATGTTGTATGTTGAACGCGACACTCGTGCACGTAAGTGCCGTAAGACACGAAAGGTTCGGCGCCGCATATAAAGCCTGTCCCCAACAGCACGTCACTGTGCAAACAAACGTTGCAATCCCCGAGATGCACATGCGAAAAAAACAGTCGCGCAGAACAACCGCTTACATACATCACTCAAATGAAAACGGTACTCAACAGGCAATGAACGGGTGGCTGTCCTAAGTCCCGCCGAAACGAAGGAGTAGCAGGCGCTCATGACCGAAATTCGCGCCGCCTGCTCCCATTAACAGACAATGTAGGTATTGAAAATACTCACATGACGACTTTTTCTTGCTGGTGAAATCGGAGAGACGTCCGCGAAGCTCCGGCGCAGTACTGAAAAAGCGGCGGCCACTGCGTAGTCGCTGTAGTCTGGTTGACCGATTGACTACAACTAAGATGGCGGCGGGGCAACTCCGGAAAACCGGCGCATGCGCTGATCGGCTGGTGGGATCGGTCTATTGGCCGCAGGCGATCGAGCCTAGACGTCTTTCCTGGCTTCGGTATAAAAACTGCCTCAGAGGGTTTCCATGCATCTAGGATGTGACACTTTCGCCAGCATGTGTTTATGTGTGCTGTAAAAGCGCGGATCGAGGCATCGTCGAAATTTCGTAGAGTCTTGTTTGTAATCTTTTCGGGACCGGGTGCTGTTTTACGAGCGAAGCTCCTTAAAGCGGCATCCGTTCGTCCCTTGTAGTAGTGCGTAACATCTCTTACGTTTTGACCTGCAAGGTGGTGCCGATGGGAGATTTCTCCTGTGCGTTGTTGAACAATAAAAAATTCGCAGCGTGCGCGTTCACTAAAAGCCGAATTCCCCTGTCTCTCATTCCCCATTAATAGCCATTGGCATGTACATTGAGCACTATCTGACAAGAAAGAGTTGCCACGTTATACTCGCTGAGCGTAACCTCCTTGGTTTTAGAAAGGTTTAGCGAGCGTTGAGCCGCAGTGCCATGAATACAGTGAACTAGTATATAACATGAGCTCGAGGTGGTTAAAGGTGGGACGTAGACACAAAGCGTGAACCGTAAGAAAGTGTGCGTGTGCCACCTCTCGTTTAGTCCTTGGAATGTCCGCTGGATGGCGGTGCTTCTATATGGGGAATATATGATGAAAAGATGCGACATGGTGGTACCTGGAGTGTTGACTAGATGGACGAACGGACACACAGACAGATGCATGTACGAACGCACGGATGGCTGCACGGACGGACGCAGGGGCGGATGGGCAGATGGACGCACGTGCGGTCATACAGACGGACGCATGGACGGACGAAAGCAAGAACGAAGGAACGGACGGATGCTTTGCCCCACTCTCCAAACAACAAGTGCAAGTGACGAGCTCCACGATTGGCCACCTGTGGGCCTGTAAGGTAGCGTGAAGACGACGCCCACGAAAGAAGTAAAGACCACGTCTTCAAGGAAACCTTGAAGGAACAATGAAGTTTGGCAAGCCCTGAGGAAAATGAACACTACCACGGCTCCAGGTCGAGACAAAATACTGACAGGGCTTTATATAACTTTCTTGAACGTCCTAGGCGACGCACTTACTGACATGGTTAACGGGTTCATTGTTGATGGGAAAAAGCCGAGGTCTTTCAGTGAGGACCGCGTAGTCTTGCTACCAAAGAAGGGCATGGATCCTGACGATCCATGGTCGTGGAGGTCGATTACCCTCCTAAACACGGACTACAAACTTGTAGCTACGATCGTTGGCTTGAGGCTAAAACCTTTTCTGCCCGATATAGTGTCACCCACGCAAACGTGTGCAGTGCCGGGTAAGTCAATTTTCAAACACTTACTCTGATAAGATATTTTTTATACTATGCCAACGCCAAAAATGTTACTGGTGCTTTCGTGTCGTTGGATCAAGCTAAGGCCTTCGACAGGGTCAAACATAACTACCTATACTGTGTACTTAGAATGTTTGGTTTGCCTGGGCAGTACGTCCGCTGTATAAAGCTCCTGTACACCAACATGACTATCCGACTCCTCATCAACGGCGTGGAGACAACAAGCTTTCCAGTAACAAGAGGTGTTCGCCAGGGACGCCCAATTGCACCGGTGCTCTTTGTTCTTCCCATAGATCCTCTCCTTAGGAAAGTGGCAAAGTGCCCTAATATTCAGGGCTTTCCAATGACAGGTCTGGGGTCAGTTAGCATCACCGCTTATGCGGATGACATTTTTGTGTTCGTGCGAAACGAAGCCAGTTACCGCGCTTTCTTGGAGCTCTTCGAAGAGTATGCCAGTTTATCGGGTGCTTTCCTGAATGCGGAGAAAAGAAAAGCCCTTCGTCTCGGTGGCTTCCGCGGCTCATTGCCGGGTGGTATTCAATACGAGGATGCCGTAAAAGTTTTCGGGGTATACTTTCGAGACGGGGAGGTGGCGAAAAAAAAATTGGAAGGACGCCGAACATAGAGCCACGCAGGTCTTTGCGTATGCCACTGCCTTCAATTTGTCACTTGACACCAAAGTGACGGTGGTGAAAACCAAAGCATGCGCATACGCTTTTTATATCGGGCACATTGCACTCATACCCAAAATTTTGCGACCCGCCTTGCGTCGTTGGTTGGAGACTTCCATTGGGACGGGAAGAAACCGGAAGTTCAACAAAAGTTCCTGAATCTCCCCAAAAGTTGTCGAGGACTCCGTGTGCCAGATGTTGTGACATTCACAAAGGCACTTTCAGCTAAAACAGTTTACAAATTGTTTCAGGACAGTGACTATCCTGGTCGTAGCTTATTGCTATATTGGGCCGGAACTCTTGGAGCCGCAATCACATTGAAAATGCGCCGGGGACCGCAAGCAGAACACCCGCATGTCTTCTATAAAGCAGCAGAAGGCTTCAAGCGTTCGGTAGATGGCGACGCCGTCAATGAATACTTTGCAAAGCTTACACCCGCACGCATTAGCGAAACGTTAATCAGTCGCTCGATTACTGACGAGGAACAACAGAGATGGAGGTCTAGCAAATGGAAGAAATGATGGAACTGCCACGTACCGGAAATAGTTAGAGAACTTGATTGGCTGCAGCGATGGGACGTGTTTCCCACTCGTCAGAGGCTGTCAGAGTGGGGCGTCGTTCCCAACGACCACTGCCCCAACTGCGGGAAAAGAGAAACGATCCGCCACACGATGTTTAAATGCGTACCGGCCAAAGGCGTGTGGCTCGTAGTGCGTCGTCAATTCGGACAGTCAATTCCTTCGGGCCAACAGCGCAGAAGGAGCTTATTTGAACAACTCGTACTGTACGTCACAATGTTCGTCTTGCGGCCTCGCCGCTGTATGGCCGAAGCACGGCAACGACCCCAACGAGCTGCATACCCTGCGTTACAGATGATTAGAATGACCATGGTTCTGTACCTTACCGAAGAGATTGAAACTCGAGGTGAAGAAGCCTTCATCAGAAGGTGGCATACACGTTTTTTTTAGTTTGGAATGGAAGTATCGAATTTCTTTTTTTAACTCGGAAAAAGGGGGAAAAATTGATTCTTGTCGCACGTAATATGTGAATCTGTTCCAACTTTGTGCTTTTTGCGTTTCTTTTTCGCATTGTTTTTTTAGTGATTCGT